TTTTTTTTTACTAACGGGAACCGTCAGATGCGCACACTAAGCGTACAAATGGAATAGGAAGCTTTCTTTAGACGCAGGCTGTGCATGGCAAAACGATGACTATATTAGGAGTCGACGACGGTAGAACTATTCATCGGCCTATCTGACGACAACCGGCTACGGTAGCAGTAGGAACGAGTGGCGATCCGGTTTTGGCGGGGAAGAGAGATTTTTGGCATTGCGGCAGGCGACATGGATTTTTTCGCCAAGTGGGACCAGGAGGAGGAGCGGCTTGAGCAAGGGGAATTGGTAACATTCCTGGGGTGAAGCACGCTTGTGATTCCGTTCCCCCTGTGCTCTGACCGTTTGCCATGCAGTGCGCCGCAACTTGCCCCGCGGCAGTCGCCATGCCCAACTACTGCTCGCGCTCGCTAGCATTGAACGCATATCTGGCCCTTGTGCTGTTTCTCGCCCTGCTTCCCAACCTTGCGCTGGCGGGTCTGCTTTTTGTCGCCTGCCTCTCCAAAACCGTGCTCCTACGTACTTCGACCAGAGGCTTTGCCTCGCTTGTGGCCGGCACTATCTGCTTCATGTCGTTTTTCCTTGCTGGCCGCCTTTGCCTGTGCTTTCTGCTTGCTGATTCGGGTTGGCTAAAGGAGAGGGCTGGATAGCGCACAAGGACGATGATGGAGACCAAGATGGGAGTGGAGACATCTTCGCACGTTTTTTTAGCTTTTCTCTCCTTTTTGTCATTCCTCTCCTTTTTCTACTTCATCTACTCTCTCACCCCTTCCCCCCCTCTGCCTGGGTTGTGCCCCCCCGCCCCTCCCTACCCCCATCACGAATCTTCACCCCCCTCCTCCCGTCCGCCACCTTCACCTTCCCCCCCTTCGTGCCCCTCCTCCCCCACCTCGTCTCCTAGGAGATGCCCCCCCTCTGATGACGCCCCAGGTGCCATGGGGTAGAAAAGCGCTTTAGGGGTTTTGCCACGCCCTCCCTGCAATCTGGCGAGATGGTCTGCGCCGATACAGGAGCGCGTAGGACCTGGAGGACAAAGCTAGAGCAGGGCCTCTCCCGTCCCCTCCTTACCTTCTCCCTTCCCTTCCCACTGGAGCCCTCACTTGTCTAAGGTCCGTCTGTTCCCCCATGGGTTTCCCTTTCCCCGTTTTTTGTTTTTTGTTTCTTACGAGCAGATTCGGAGTGCGGCAGTGCAGCAGGCCATAGTATGTTTTGATGATGACATTGATTGTCGCTTTGTGAAGACTGCGCCTATTTGGCGATAATAATGCTGATCGACTCAATGGTTTGATATTTTCTTACATGCAATGGATTGTGTCGATGGTCTGCTCTTTGTGCGTATGCGATGGATGGATCTTTGGGATTTCTAATTCTACACGCCTGGTGTCGGCGATACTCCCCTCTTCTTCCTCCCTTCTCCTCTCCTCTTTTCCCCTCTCCACCCTTCTTCTCGCCGCTTCCCCTCTTCCCTCTTCTTCTCCTTACCCTTTCTCTTYGTCCCATTCGTGAAYCATYCCCCTTACCCCTCCYCCCTCCCCTTTTCCCTCTCCAATGTCTCTTCTCCCTCCCCCTTCTGAACGTCACCTCCATGAGCCTCCCCCTTCGCGCTCCGGAATGGATCGATGAGATGCATGGGTGTGG